TCCCGCCCCCTCCCCCTGCCACCTAACCACTTTCTATCCCACATGCCCCCCACCCTACGCCCACATCTCACTACCCCCTCACCAAATTCATTTCGGCACTCTGGAGGGCCTGCTGCACAGGCCCGGGCACCCGCTCAAATAAATCTGCACACAACTCCTCAAACTCCGCACGGGTCACTTTCGCCTTGAAGTCCACATCATCCATCAGGCCCTCGATCTAGGAGGAGGATGGGGCAAGTCAGAGCGCCCACCCAGGTCCTCCTCTTTGGGGGGGCAGGTCAGAAATCGAGGGAATTGGACTTTGGGAGAATGGTAGGAGGCCTGGGAAGAGGGATGAGCCACACCGCACACCAGGGGCCTAGCTCAGGATGGAGAATATTTGCCCTCGACCAGCCATGAGTGGGCACCTGTGCCATGTGATCAGCGTTGGCACTCAGGACGGTTTTGAGTCGATTCGCCTCCCGTAGCAGCTTGGCCATGGCACGGGGGTTCTCCCGCACATCCTTAGCTCCCTGGCCCTTCCGCTGTTTGTTGAAAAGCCTTGCCAGGTGCTCACGCAGCCGGAGTTCCATCTCCAAGCCCCCCAGGGTGCGGTCAAATCTATCCAGGGAAAAGAGAAAAAGCGTGAGGAACACACAGTGTCCCTTCATCGACCTAGGAACCTCACCTTCCTCTCACGTGGCTGACACCTCAGTGGCAGTTCACGTGCGTATCCAATCCACCATACTTACTGGGCATTGACTATCTGTTTGTCTCTGGAGATGCAATTAACAGCAAAGAGACAGGGAACCTGCTGTCAAGGAGCTTACAGTCTAGCATCGAACAATTACATGAAAAAAAACGCCAACCACCCCGAGTTATAAGGGAGACATACAACAGCGTTAGAAGACGTAGAAGGGAAATGCCCCCTATTTACAGACGCCATAGAAAGTTCTGTGGAGATGTGATGCCTGAGCTGAGACCTGCAGGATTGAGTGGAGTTAATGGGTTGAAGAGAAAACAACCCTAGATGGAGGGACCAGTGTGCATAAAGACCCTGAGGTGAGAAACAGCCCAATGAATAAGTTCCAAAGGACAGTCATGGTAGAACTCAAAAAGCAAAGGCTCTGGGTAGAGACAAAAGGGAGGAGTCAGAGCTCTCACAGGCCACAATAAAGGTCTGGGACCACTAAGGTTTTTTTTTTTCCTTTGAAAGAGAAAGCTGGTGAGAATGCGGGCACGTGCGAGAGCAGGGGAGAGGGGCAGAGAGAGAATCTCAAGCAGGCTCCAGAGCCAAAATCAAGAGTCCGACGTTCAACCGACTAAGCCATCCAGGCACCCTGCCACTGAAGGCTTTTAAAGAAATAGACTATAATCAGGTTGGCACTTTGGAAACAACCTTCTGGCTACAACGTGGAGAAAGAACTGAAGGGGGGCCACAGCGAAGACAGGGAGACCTTCTATCGTAACCCTGCAGGTCAGAGATGATGGAAGCTGGGACTAGAGTGGTGGAGGAAGAGCTGCACAGAAAAGAACGGCTCAGAAAACCAGACCACGTCACCAGTAAGTACGCTGAAAGTGACAAGAACAAGCAAATGACCGCATCTGACACTGCGCATGGTCGGTAGCCCCACGGATTTCCTAAGTAATAGCTCACGGTAGTTCCCTGCCTTCCCAGTTTGGGGAAGCAGGAGGGGAACCCCCATGTGGCCCTTTACAGGGCCCGTTTTCCAGAGCATGAGCTAGGCTTCGACCCACAGGCTGTCTTCCCAAACTGTCCCCTTCTCTCTCCATCTTCCCCCCAGTTCTTCCAAGACGTACCCTACAGGGACCGATGCTTCAGGAGAACATTCATGCAGGGAGCAGGAAAAGGAGGCAGCTGCCCCTCCAAGAAGAAACCCCCGACCCGAGGGTGTCTCAGCAAGTACCCACTTACCCCACTCCCCGGATCTGCAGCTGTGGCTGCATCCCCGCCTCCTTAGTCTTCACCGTCTGGTAGGTGACAATGGTGCACACGGTGCTGCCAGAGCCCATGTCATAGAACATGACGTTCTGTGGAGACACCGAGACAACTGTCACGGAAACCTTCTCTAACTCCAAGGTGCTGTATCGACTCTCCACTGAAAGCCGAAAAGCCCCAACGCTGGCCGAGAGGGGCCTGGTGTTGCATTTTGTCAAGGGCTAGTCGTGCAAACGAGATGCAAAACAGAGTCAAGTGGTCTCCGTCGTCACAGCCAGCCAGCCTCCAAGTCCGGTGAGAAGTTCCTCCCCAGCTCACCTGGGCAGTGGTGTTGATATCTTTCCGGCGGAAGACGCCGTAGCTGAGGGCGGTGGCGGTGTTGTCATTGATGAGCTGTAGCACTTTGAGGCCAGCCATGCGAGCCGCCTGCAGCACAGCTCGGCGCTCGGCCTGATTGAAGAAGGCTGGCACGGTGATCACTGCATCCTTGATGGGCTGCTCTACAGAGGGCAACAGACCAGGGTTCCCACCAGCTCCATACTCAGACGACCCTTTCCGAGTCTTGCTACTAGTGACCTTCTGGGCCAAGTAACTCTTTGCTGTGTGGGGCTATTCTGTGCATTGTAGGATCTCGGGCAGCATCCCTGGCTTCTGCTCGTTAGATGCCAGTAGCAGCTCCCCAGTTGTGACAACCAAAGAGGTCTTCAAATATGGCTGGCTGTTCCCTGGGAGGCAAAACTGTCCCACTGAGACCCTAGGGAACCTGGCCACCGCTGGCCCCACCTTAGCCACTCACCTGCAAAATCTTCAGCCAGGGAACGTGAGTAATTGAGAACCATGCCGAGTACCTCCTCAGGTGAGAACTGTAGCTGCCTGTGGGGAGGGGATGAGTTAAAGGCAAGGACAACCATGAGCAGGGGAGCCCATCAGGCCCACTGAGCCCACTGTCCCCAGCACAACACTCACGGACTGATTTGGAAGTGCACAGTCTGCCTCTGTGGGTCGAAGCCTAGCTCATGCTCTGGAAAACGGGCTCTGTAAAGGGCCACATGGGGGTTTCCCTCCTGCTTCCCCAAGAGGTGCTGGAAGTAACGCAGTGTCGCCTTTGGATTCTTGATGGCCTGAGAACAGATAAATAAGGAATATGGCGTGAGGTTCCCAAGTCTGCCATCACCTACCTCTCACATCAGAGGCTGGTAAGAGAACAGGCTCTGGGGTCTGACATCTCTTTTCTGCCCATCGCTTATGGGAAAGGGGTGGGCTGTTAGCTCACCATGCTTGCTGCACTGTCTCCAAAGAATCTTTCATTTTCTTTCAGGGTCACAGTCACTGGGGTTTTCCTCCGGGATTCCCTGAAAAAAAGAGACACAGGGCCCAGGTGCCTACAGCAGGATGTGGATTCAGGAGCCTCAACACCCCAAATACAATCACTTAGACACCAGCCTGTTGTGGGCCCTCGCAAGAACACACACGGGCTTGGAGCACAGACTTCCCTCTTCCCCCACCCCTGACACTGGGGCCGCCCTTACTTGTTCAAGACAATTTCCATGGGCACTCCGGGTTTGACGATGGCCACCTTCATGGACTCGCTGCCCAGGTCCACAGACATCACTGCCAGCGTGTCTGAAAAAGAAAGAGATTTGTTGATTACCCCCTGTTCCCCAACACTCCTGAGTCCCCTCTAACCAAAGCACTTCACCCTCCAAAGAGAAGGACAGATAGCAAAGATAAAACCCTAGGTTCAGCAACTCAAGAGTCCAACTTCCAACTAAAAGCCTCCTCTCCCACCATAGTTCATTCATCACTTCTTCTTTTGAGCCCACTACTGGGGTACATACCACTCAGTGCCAACAGATCTGCCAAGAGCACAGCCATCAAGACCCAACAGGCTAGCCTCCTCGGCCTCTGCCTCCTGACGGTGGCTGCCATTGTGCCTCTGAGGGAGGAGAAAAACAACACTTGTAACCGGATGCCCTGAGTGAAGAAGACAGAAACTCATCCCAGAACAGAGAAGCTTTAAGATTCATACTCCACCGTCCCTAGGTAGGGCAAAGGGGCCTACATCCCCCTCCCCGCCCTCCTGATAAGGACCCAGCACTCTAATCACACAAAGGGTCCTGGGCTCCATCCACCACATCCCTAAACAGGGAAGGTACCGGGACAGGAGAAAGGAGACCAGAGCCTTCCGTCCACGGCATAGGCTGTAACTGGCTCACCCTAGCACTGCCCCTGCTGTTAGACACCTGGGGTGCGGCCAGGGATCCCCGCCCAGGGCTCAACTGCCTCCCTACACCTGCAGCTCCCCCGCTGGCGGGGAAAGCCAGGCCGGGCCTGGACGGGAAATGAGAAGTGGTGACGTTGGAGGCTGGGATGTTAGAAGGGCCTGTCTCCTCCTCGGTATCCTTTCGGGTTGTCCCGCCCGCCGCCCGTTCTCCATCCCAACCCCCCGCCCCGCTGCCTACACAGACGCCGTGCCTGCAACGGTAAGATTCCTCGCCGGGCAGGTACCGAGTCCCCCGAGTTCACCTAAGCGTCACCTGGCGAAGGCGGCGGCTCCCACCCCCGGAAACGCGGCCCGGCCCTCCCCTAAAGCGTGAGGGCGCCCCGGGACCGAGCTGCGGGGTCAAGCGCACCGGCGTCCGTGCGGCCCTTGCTCCCGCTACCGACCCGCCCCCGGAGCTAGCACGTTGCCTCTCCTAGGAGGGGTGGCCGGCTCCCATCGCCATCCCTAACCCCGTTACCGCTTGCCTGCGCTCCTGCGGCCCCAGCTCTGGGGCAAACGCGGCGGCGGACGTACCCACGAGGCCGGCAGGGCGCCCCCAAGCCCGCGCCCTTCACAACTCCCCTCGGTTTGCAAACTGTTACATTAGCCACCAATCTCTCCGCGGCGTCTCGCGCACCAGCCGGCCCCGGACGCGGCGCGCGCTCATTGGAGCCTCGGCCGCCCGGCCCTGCGCCGCGCGCCGGGCCCCGCCCCCATCGCCGCGGCGCGCGCTCCCATTGGGCCACGTCCTAGGCCCGCCCCCTCCTCCGTCGCCGGCTTCAGGCCGGAGGCTGCCGAGGGGCCAGTCCGCCAGTTGGGGGTGGGAAACGGCCGACGCCGGCCAGGGATTGGGCCACGTCATGGGGCCCGGCGCGCGCCCCGGTGCGTTCCGGGACCTTTCCGGCCTCAGCGCTGGATGCCGGACTGCCGGTGTCGGGAGTGACTCGTGTCCCGTGCAAGTGAGCACCCGGACAGTCCCGCAGTCGGTCCCCTTACTCCGGTCACCAGGGGAGCCCCGGCCGAGGAGCAGGAATGACCGGCATCCCCTCCGCAGCCACGCGGAAGAGGCTCTCGCTTGCTGGTTGGTATTGAACTGCTTAGGCTTCGGATAGAAATCCAGAATGGCTACGCTTCAGGCTTGGTCCACCCCCACCTTCGTTTCACCTTAAAGACACCAAGACAGATCTTCGCTGGTGGGACAGAGATAACAGAACTTGGCCTGGACCCCTTACTCTAAGACCCATTTTTCTGAGACAGAATATTCCAAAATGGAAAGCGCTGCACGCAAAAGACACTTTTATCTATGAGGCTGTGATCAACTGAGCATAAATGCATCACCTCATGTTTCCGTTCCTTTAAATCTTGTATATCTTCTTTTTTCCCGCTTCTGTCAGAATTAAAGTATCTCGGGCAGGTTTGGCGCTCCTCCCTCCCTTCTGTGTACTTCGTAGCCTAATGGAAGTGTGCACAGCGCTTGGAGAGCTCACTTTTCTTTTTTCAACCTGCCCCACCCCGTTTTGTTGACCTGTGCACTGTAAATGTGATAGTGCTCTCATGTCCTCCCTCTTCCAGTCTGACTCCCTGGCCTCCCTTCATGAAGGTTCCCTAGAAGGTCCTGGCTGTAACGGCCAGGACTTGTTTAAGGAACTCTTACCTGTTCCTTTCCCTACATTTTTCATGATGCTTAGGGAGGCAGGGTAGTCAGGTGTCTGTACTTGGAAGATAAACACATCTACTGGTAGTATCAGGGAGAGGTCTATTTTTCTTCCCTTTGTGGACTGTTCAGTCTTCATATGGAGATCTTGGTAGAAATAAGGAGAAATAAATCCCTCTGATACCATGCTCAGTCTCACTCTTTCTGGAATTATCTACTGTTAACAGTGTGGTGTGTAACCTTCCAGGCCTCCTCCTGGGCATTTATGGACATTTGTTGAAATCTGTAGCTTTTGCTTTCTTTTTAAATGATAAAATGTTGTATAATGAAGTTTGTTTGCAGCTTGCATTTTCTCCCCCTTTTTTTTTTTGAAAGTAATAACATATCACGGAGCGTTTTCCGGATCAGTGTGTAAAGATTCACCTCATTGTTTACTGCTGTAGAACATTCCATAGCACGGGGGTTGGCCAGCCACAGTGATGGATATCTAAGTTGTCATTTCAGCTCTATGAGACATGCTAAGTTGTCATTTCAGTTCCACAGAGAAAGATTTTGTTACTGTATGACTGACCCAACTTTTGGGTAGCAGTCTGGTAGGATAGATTCCATCCATTTCAAACAGATTATTCATTTCTAATATTTATTGGGCCTCTGTCAGTTATAAGCATTGCACTAGGTGTGGGATTCCAGAGATGGGGATGACCATGTCCTTGCCTTTGGAAAAGTCAGTCTGTTGGGAAACATGTTTATGGTTTCAGTGCACTTATTAATTTATTTATTTTTTAGTTTATTTTTTGAGAGTGAGAGGGGAAGGGGCAGAGAGAGGGGGAGAGGATCTGAAGCGGGCTCTGAGTCAACAGCAGAGAGTCCGATGTGGGGCTCGAACTCATGAACCTCGAGATCATGCCCTGAGCTGAAGTTGGACGTCCAACCGACTGAGCCACCCAGGCGCCTCTCAGTGTACTTATTAAAAACCTATTGAGGGGCGCCTGGGTGGCGCAGTCGGTTAAGCGTCCGACTTCAGCCAGGTCACGATCTCGCGGTCCGTGAGTTCGAGCCCCGCGTCGGGCTCTGGGCTGATGGCTCAGAGCCTGGAGCCTGTTTCCCATTCTGTGTCTCCCTCTCTCTCTGCCCCTCCCCCGTTCATGCTCTGTCTCTCTCTGTCCCAAAAATAAATAAATGTTCAAAAAAAAAACAAAAAAAACCTATTGAATGTGTGCAAATTGGGACACTAAGAAGGTCAGTTTGATCTGCTCCTAAGTGAGCTCCCATCCTCGGGTTATCCTTGGTGGGAGTACAGTTTTGCTGCAGCTACGGTTTTCGACCTGGGTATCTGTCCCCTTGGGAGGTGCGGCAGGTGCGAGTGCTCTAGAGAGTCACCTGTTTTGTTTTCTGACCAGAGAGGACCCTAGTGTTTCACAAGAACAAGTTGTAAAATGATGGGAAAATGTTAAGGTAAAACACCTGATTTAGATTGACGAAGGCAGCTGAATTCACTAGTTCTCACTTAGAACAACATGTTAATAACATTTGAGGACTACATCGCTTCCCCCACCCTGAGCAGAAACCCTAAAGTTGCCATCTTGCAGGACATGTGCAACTGTCAGAAGATTAAAGTGAACACATTAGCAGGAGCATGTGCATATGTTATAAACCATGCATGTTACATCATATGCTGAGGGCAGTGTTAATCAGGACAAACATCCTGGTTCAGGAGAATTTTAAAAATTAGTTGTCGGGGCGCCTGGGTGGCTCAGTCGGTTAAGCGTCCGACTTCAGCTCAGGTCACGATCTCACGGTCTGTGAGTTGGAGCCCCGCGTCGGGCTCTGGGCTGATGGCTCAGAGCCTGGAGCCTGCTTCCGATTCTTTGTCTCCCTCTCTCTCTGCCCCTCCCCCGTTCATGCTCTGTCTCTGTCTCAAAAATAAATAAACGTTAAAATAAATAAAATTAGTTGTCATTCAGCAACTTCCATCTTAGGTTTAGGTAATGCTTATATATATTCACTAAGAGACTGTTTGTAATAGCTTTATTCATAACGGCCCCAAATTGAATATTACCTAAATGCCTATCAATAGTTGGATGGGTAGGGGTGCCTTGGTGGCCTAGTCGGTTAAGCATCCAACTCATGATTTCAGCTCAGGTCATGATCTCATGGTTCGTGAGATCAAGCTCCATGTTGAGCTATGCACTGACAGCTCAGAGCCTGCTTGGGATTCTCTCTCTCTCTCTCTCTCTCTCTCAAAATAAAAAAATAGTTGGATCGGTAAATAAATTGTGGTGAATTCACACAATATAATTCTATACAGCAATGAAAATGGTCTATGATTACAGTCTGCGACTTAACTAAAGCCCACAAAGCTAATACTGAGTGAAAGAAGCCAGAAGCTAAAGGGTACATACTTTATGATTTCAGTTATATAAAGTTTAAAACCAGGCAAAACTAAGCTATGGTGATAGAGGTGGAGACGGTGCTTACCCTTGTGGGGTGCTAGTGTTTAGAAGAGGACATAACACGCTTCTTGGGGGTGCTTGCCGCGCTCTGGTTACCATGCTGGTTGCAATGGCTTTGTGAAAATGTAATGGGCCATGGTATGTATGCTTTTCTATATATGTTATACCTTAATAAAATTTTTAGAAGTTATTTTAGAAAATTTTTAGAAGTTATTTTGTGTCACTCAAAAGACTAGAAGGTTTGATTTTGCTGGAACCCTGAGACAGGGGAAAACTCACTTTTAGCAGGAGAGGCTGTACCTAGATAAGTTTTGTTTTTGTTTTTGTTTTTATTTTCTATTTCTTCACCAATGGTTTTAGAATTATGAAAGAAATGTGATTGAAGAAAACTGAAGAACATAGGAAAAACAAATAGTAAAATAAAAATCACCCACAATTCCATTTTTTAAATTAAACACTTAGCATTCTGATGTATATGCACACACTTTACACTTTAATGGAGATAATATTTTGTGACTAATTCCGTTAATTTTCCTATGTCATTTTTCCTCTACAGAAT